TATTTTTGTTTTTAAATTTCCATTGTGATATTGAAAATGGACCTAAAGCTTTCATCATTTTGTTTGCTTTTGTATACATTTTGCAAAATCTAATTTTTGAAAAAAAAAATTATTCATTTTATAGTGAAGTAATAACAGTAATTTTAAATATTATTGTTTATTTATTTTAGCAATACATTGTGTTAAATTGTTAATAAAATGAAATCTTTATACCTCATACTTTTTCCAACTAATAAGAGCATACAATCAAATATAATTCCTGGTATCCAATGTAAAAATAACCATACAAATTTTCCCAGCCATTTATTGTCATAAGTATAGGTAAACTCGTACCAAATAGCACAGTTAGGAGGAGCTGTGTAATAAATTTGTTTTGTTTCACTTATGTAGTGCTTCCAAGTCAATGGACTAAAGGTCGATGAAACGTAATTATATATTTTTGGCTTTTTCGGAACCGAGTTTTGATATCTATGAGATATTAAAAATATGTATCATAATATGTGAATTTAAGCTAATAATTATACCAGTGAGGTAACTAAAAATGTTATGTTAAAAAAAAAATTGTTGAATTTTTCAAAAAATTAAGCTTAAAAGGTAAAACCGAAGAAAAAACTCCACATTTGGATGTGTTGGATAAAGAACCTGACAGTAAATTTTTTGGAGTCCGAGAGTTCATTAAAAATGTCCAACTACTAGATATCATTATTCAAGAAATGATAACTTGAATAAGAATTATTTATGTCCTAACTTAAATATTTCTATTATATCCAACCTATACAAACAAGAATTTAACAATGAACCAGTTTCTATATACATATTCAGAAATATTTAAAAAAAAAATTTTAAATATAATCTTTTCATGGACCTATTTCAGATAATTGTAAAAGGTATGACATATACAATATGAATATTAAAGTAGCTTCTGAACATAAGTTACATTTTAGAAAAGCTAAAGGATTTATAAAACTAATCCCAATAAAGTAAATGTATTGCAATCGATATAATGAAAATACTTGTTACTTCATCTCTTTCTGTTAAAGTAGCTTATTATAGCTAAGTACATAAAAATTTGTGTATACATCATTTAACCACAAATATACATACAAATGCTTGTATGTATATTTGGAATGAATCCATGGCATTGCGATGCTCTCAAGAAATTGGATTATGCTTATTACACTTCATACAAAATTATGTAAGTACAACACAATTAATCATGTATAGTTACTAATGTGGTGGGCAAAATTGCAATATCAAAATTGCTTTAATTTTTAATTTCATAGTTGTCTCAAATGATTATTCACCAACTGAAATACACCATAAGTTTCTAGTGTCAGAGCATTCATACTTGGCATGTGATAGGGATTTTGGATTGATTGAAAAAGAAAAGAGGTATGATCCTCAAATATAAGTACCAAATGACTAGATAACAGTTATTCAGAGTGCTAGAAAAAAAATTAATTTAAGGTAATACAAATGAGACTAGAATATTTTAATACAACATTATTACTGGAAAAGGATATTTTTAATAGAAAAATTAACGGTGATGGACAAAAATTTGATTGGCTGAAAATCCAATGGATATTTTTTATTTCAAAATCTGACTTAAAAATATTTTTTTATTGAAAATATGATATTGTGTAATTTGATGAATTTTATATTATTTCTCTTAAAATAACTCTTTAACGTTGTTCCCTTAGATGTAATAATATTATATTATATAATATTATATAATAATATAATATTAAATAATAACCAAAAGGTAAATTTATTTAAATTTTTAATTGGTGAATTTTAAATTCAATGAATTTAAAAATAGAATTTTTAAGTTTAATTAGATGTATTACACACATTAACCGTTTGAAGAAATAGACCACTGTTGCGCTCAACCCCTTAATTATTCTTAAATTATCACACTGTCATATAACACATACTTAGTTTTAATTAAAACAATTAAACATGCTTACAATTAAAGTATATTATACCTGTTAGCTGTATCCCACATAGATGTTATCAAAGCGTTTACCGTGTAGTCTGCTGGTACTATATCGACCACATTATTTAATTTGCACGGAATAGCTCTAAGAAAACC